TTGTAGGTCTACCAGTCCCAGTTCTTCCAATTTTTCATTCAAAGACATTCTTTTTAATCTTAAACAAAAATTATGAGGAAGGGTGGATTGGGGCCACACTTGGTATTGTGTTCAGGAGGTACTCCAGCTGTGTGTGGGAGTTACTTCTGGTGGTGCTCCAAGGGCCACACGTGGAATTGTGGATTGAACTGGGGCTGTGTGAAAGGCATGCACCTTAACCCCTGTACTCTCTCTCTGGACCAAGATCTTGTTTGTTTATTGATATTCTGACTGGTTGTTCTAATGACAAGAGTGAACTAGAAAGTCTCCTACTACAGTAGAGTTGCCATCATTGTATCATTTCACTTCCCTTTTTTTTCTTTTCTTTTTTGGTGGTGGGGGCACCTGGCAATCCTCAGGTGTTACTCCTGGCTTTGCACTCAGGAATTACTCCTGGGAGTGTTCAAGAGATCATAATGGATGTCAGGGATCGAATCCGGGGTAGACGCATGCAAGGCAAGCACCCTACCCACAGTACTATCTGTCATACCCTCTTCCCATATCTATTAGCAGTTACTTTATAAACTCTGCTGTTTCTTTTTTTTTTTTCTTTTTGGCTTTTTGGGTCACACCTGGTAATGCACAGGGATTGCTCCTGGCTCTGCACTCAGGAATTACTCCTGGCTGTAGCTCAGGAGACCATACGGGCGGGATGCTGGGACTCGAACCCGGGTCGGCCGCGTGCAAGGCCAAACGTCCTACCCACTGTGCTATCGCTCCAGCCCTAAACTCTGCTCTTTCTTTGTTTGGTGCATATATGTTGTTCAGAGTTATATTCTCTTGATCTTTTCATACTTTAACCAGTATGTACTGTCCCTCCCAATCTTTATTTTCTTTCGCTTGAATACATTTTGATCTGATACAAGTACAGTCATTCCTGCTTTTCTCCACCTACTATTTACCTAGATGACTGTTTTTAACCCTTTGTTCTGGGCCTGTGATTACTGTAAGAGTTAGTATGTGTTTCTTGTAGGCAACAGAAAGTTGAATTTTGTTTCTTGATCCATCCAGTCACTTTAAGTCTCTTTATGAGAGCTCAGCCCATTGACATTTAGAGATAATGTTGATCTGAAGGAATTTATTGCCATGTATTACCATGAATTTATTGACATTTATTACCATGAAGAGCTGGGTCTTTTATCCTGTTTGATCTTTGCTTTTAATATGAGGCCATTCAATAACCCTAACAGAATTGGTTTAGATGCTACTAATATCCTCAGATCCTGAGAATGTTCTTATCCTTCCTTCAACTCTCAGTGACAACGTTGCAAGGCAGAAGATTCTTGGTTAGAGGTTCTTACCATTGAATACTTTGTATATGCTATTCCATTTTCTTCTGCTTATAAAATTTCATTAGAGAAATCTGCCATAAGTCTAGTTTTTCCTCTTGTATATGACATTTTCCTTCTCTCTTGCTGGCTTTTATGTGTCTGTTTCTGACTTTTTGACCATGATGTGTCTTTGTGTTGTTCTGCTTAGTGTTTTGTTGTGTTTATTTTGGAACTCTTTGGGAATCTTTGATCAGTATTCCAACTCTTTTCAAATTGGGGAAATTCCCACTTGTTACTTTTTCAACTAGTCCATCTTCCTCTCTCTCTCTTCTCCTAGGAATCCTATAATTCTGAAGTTGTTCCTCCTAGCATTGTCACAATACCTTTTTTACCCCAGTATCTTTTCTATTGCCGTTTTATTGATGAAACTATACACCATACCTTTGAAGGCACAGATTCAACTTTCAGCTTCAACTACTCTGCTACTGAGACCTGTTACTATATTCTTTAGCTTCTTTATTTCTTCTGTTTGAGTTCTTACATTTTTTTTCCCATCAGGGTCTCCCCAAGTTTAATGAATCTTTGTTCAAATGTCTTTTTCAGATCATTAAACAGTGATAGGATTGTTCTGAAGTCTTATTCAGGTAGATTAAAAGTTCTAATGCAATTAAGGAATCTTCCTGGATTTCTGTCACCCTCTGTAAGGAGAGCTTAGTTTATTTTTCCATTGTCCCTGGTGCTCCACTGTTTTATGGGTGAACTGTGGCTATTCACTATTCTTCAGCTTCTCTTAACAATGGGTATGGCTTGATTCATACCCACGGTTGTGGTGGGACAGAAACCCCCTGTGGTCTACCTGTACTGTCTGCCATGTGCAGTTCAACTCCTATCTCCTGTGATACCTCTCACTGTAGCTTATTTGTAACCTTCAAGGGGGGAAGCATTTTCAGATGGGGGATGTCTCAGTCTAGGGTCCCTGCTGTCATGTTGTGATCATTAGCACAAGTGTGGGGCCCCATGTGAGGCGCCACAGCACACAAGGCTGGGCTAGCACCAGACCTACTCCAGACACATTTTCTACAGAGTTTTAAATTTGTTATAGTATAGTTTTGATGTGTTATTAAAAAAAAAAAGAAAAAAATTTAAAAGTTTCAAAAGTCAAACTGTTAAACTTAACTAAAATCTTATTTTATACTAAAACATTATGATAAACTTAGATTTTAATCACAACTTCTCTATGCGTCTAATCCATGGTTTTGAGTTTTTTGTTTGTGTGGTTTTGTGCTACACCCAACATGCTCAGGGATCACTCCTGGCCAGGCTTGGAAAACCATAAAGCGTGCCGGATACTGAACACAGGTCAGCCACGAGCAAGGCAACCCACTGTACTACCTACCACTACCCACTACTATCTCTCTGGCCCCTGATCCATGGTGTGAGAGTAGGGAAGAATACTATTTCAATCTATTGTTATGAAAAGGAAGAAATAATCAATATATTTTTTTTAGAAGACAGGTATAGATTACTTGCTGATGACAGTGATACAATACGTAGGCGGGAAAAATAGTACAGGAGTAATGGTACTTGCCTGGCCTGTGGCTGACTTCTGCTCTATCTCTGGCACCACAGGGTTCCCTGAATACCACCAAAGTGTAGCCTCAAAACAAAACAAATAAAACAAATAAAAAGAAAATGATCCAGTCTGAAGTCATAATTGGTGATTCAAGTATAAAGTGGAAGCTTGGGGGGAATGTAATCCTTGAAAAGGTGAGAAGGAACTGTATATGACAATCTTGGCCTTGGATGGAAACTCAGTTCAGCATTTGGAATTAGATGGAATTGGATGGAAGACAGAATACATTATTCCATTTCTCACATTCTATTTTTGTTGTCGATTTGTTTCTCACATACTGTGAACCTTAGAAGAAATAAGTGTAAATAGCTTGCTCCTTTTATAGTAAGAATTTTTATTGTTCTATTTCCCTTCCTTAGTACAATGTCTGGCACCTGTAAGTATGCAATAAGTATTTGATGAACAAATGAAAAACAAATAAATGGAAGACCTATATTATACATAAGATGGAAATTTCAACTGTCATAAAAAAAAAGTTAAAAATAGTTTCCAAAAAACAGAGTTCCACGAGAAAGAGAAATCTCTTCCTCCCAGTTAGAAGCTCAATAATCCGTCATCTCGGCCTAAAGCAAGGTTTGTGAACTCGGGGGCTTTAGCAGGTTGATCAGGATTACAGTGGCAGGGACCCTGGTGTATCGAACGCAGCATGTTCATCTGGAGAGGACAGTGGCAGGATCACAGAGACAGTGCAGGGTGAAAGGCACTTGCCTGCCTACAGCCAACTGCAGTTAGATTCCTGGCACCGACATATATATGGTCTCCTGACCACTACCAAGAACCCCGAGCCCATCAGGAATGATCCCTCCATGCAGAGCCAGGAGTATGCCCTGAGCACTGGACTCCCACCAAAAAAAAATTTAAGCAAATTGAATAAATAAATAGACCAACATCAATTAGCAAGGTTTTTTAGAAGTTAAAACATTTCCTCTCGATCCTCCCAGGATGGGAGAAGCATGCTGAAAGTAGACTATAGACCAAACATGATTGTTACCCATTGCCTCTTTTGCAAACCACAACACCCAATAATAAGAGGAGAGAACAAAAGGGAATGCCCTGCCACAGAGGCAGGGTGGGATGGGGGGAATGGGGGGTGGGAGGAATACTGGGATCCGTGGTGGTGGGAAATGGGCACTGGTGGAGGGATGGGTATTTGATCATTATATAATTGAAACCCAAGCACAAAAATTTGTAAGTCTACAACTGTACCCCATGATGTCTCACTAATAAAAATTAAAAAAAAAATTAAAAATAAAAAGTAAATAAAAATACAATCTCTCAAAAAAAAAAACATCTTTCACAAATTCAACATGCATCTCAGAAGCCTCTGTGGCTTTCAAATGATTGCATAGGTCTCATGATTGGCTCTCAGTATTATCTAAATTTTGCTAAAATGACTTGCCCCACAGCTACAAGAATTCCAGCATTAAAAAATAAAATAGAAAAAAACAAAACAAAACAAAATAAGACAGAGTCATGCCACTGGACCCCACACCAGGCTGTTTCACTCAGGGCACCCTGAAGGGGGATGGGTGAGGCCCTTCCCCGGCCCCAAGGAACCCAGCTCTGGCAGCCAAAAACCACCAGAATTCAACCTCCACCATGCTCACAGCAGCTCTCCACACGCTGGGGCTGAACCTCACCCACAAGTAAACCTATTCCACTCACGCTCCAAGAGTAGCACACCATATTGGATGGTGTTTAAAGCAGATGGCAACCAATCTTAGGAAAATATATTTTTAAAAGCTCAACCTTTAACAACACATTAGTAATCTCTTATAGAAGGGCTTAATGGCTCCTGGGTGAATACAACAATCTTCACACACTTTCCTCTAAGGGAAAGTTTTTTTGGAGTATTTTTAGAGTTTTACTCATAACAAACAATACAGAATAAATTATTTTGGTTCTTCTTAGGGGCAGGGGTTGGGGTTTGGAATGGAAATATCCAAAATATGGTGGTGGGAGGACGTAATAGGGGTGGGATGAGTGTTTGAATATTAAATGTAATCAAGTATTATGAACTACTTTATAAAAATTAAAATTAAAAAAAAAATCCATACCTTTGCCTCATGGCCAGATATCGGAGATCCAGGCACCCTTTAACAGTGAGACCATAATCCTGTAGAAGCTTGTTGGCATCTTCTGAACACCCTACTCCAACCTTTAAAATAGTACCATCTGCCAAAATGTCCAATAATGTTTTGGGTAGTGTTTTTCCTCCACAGATCATCTTGGGCAGGCGAACCAAAACACAGAAGCCACTTGGGGAGGCCATTTGTAAGAGAGACAAAGGACTGATTTTGCCTTCCAGATTCACCTGCCACAAAGAAAAACAGGGCCACAATTCATAGTTTAGCACAGTACCAAGTACACCATGAAACGGTGCCTCCCTCTCCCTCTTCTCCAACCCTCACCCCACAAGGGTCAAACCCCAGGGCCTAAAATAGGAGAAATCCACAAATAGTGACCAGTTGATACAGAGGTACTCTGGGACAAACACTGGCAGAGTCACATGAAATATATATTTCAGAATGCCAAGGGGTGGGGTAGAAAAAGCAGAATGCCATGATCTTTTTTTCTTTTTGCTTTTTGGGTCACACCCAGCAATGCACAGGGGTTACTCCTGTCTCATGCACTCAGGAATTACTCCTGGTGGTGCTCAGGGGACCATATGGGATGCTGGGAATCGAACCCGCGTTGGTCGTGTGCAAGGCAAATGCCCTACCCACTGTACTATCACTCTAGCTCCAGAGTGCCATGATTTAAAGGAACTCTTTTTCATATTCCAGACTCCTGAATGTACATGCTAGTAAGTCAATTCATTTGCTTTATGATCCAAGGCCCAAGAGCTAATATTTAACTAAAAGAAGAGATGCAGTTCTATAAATAATTGGTTACCTGCCAATACAATAAATCCTAGTTGCACAGTTTTTCTTAGCATTCTTAGCATTTTATGGTCATAAATACTGTTCATGAATTAAAAAAAAAAAGGTACATTAGTCCTAAGTTAGGATTTTTTTTTTTCAGGGTGGGGGGTGGGGGAGGCAACACCTGGTAGTGCTTAGGGCTGACTTCTGACTCTGAGCTCAGGGATCACTCCTGGAAGTGCTCAGGGGATCATATGAAGTTCTGGGCACTGAACCTAGATCAGCCCCATGAAGGAATGTACTCTGCCCACTGTACTATCACTCTGGCCCTGGATCCTTAAATCTTGAAATTAAAAGAAAGGTATTAATTTATCTAATTTCAATCTTTTGGAAGTCATATATAACATACAGAAAATGTTGGAAGTTATTTCCAGAAAAATCTACATAAAATTCGTATTAATGAAAAGTTTCTTAAAAATATCCATTGATTGGGCTGGAGAGATAGTTAAGTGGGTATGGTGCTTGCTTTGCATGCAGTCAACCTGGGTTCAATACCTAGTAGCACATATGATCCTCAAAGGCTCACCCAGAATTACCTGAGCACAGAGCCAGAAGTAAGCCCCGAGCACTGTTGGACATGGCTTCCCCCTCAAAAAGAGGTTATTCATAAAATTTAGGTTACGTCATAAATATAAGACCCAAGACCCAGAGACTATAAAACCCAGATCCCGGAAGCGCGCGACCACATTCGCAGCCGTGCGACATCTTATTATCTCACCCTTAATTACAAACTTGCTGGCTACCGAATGTATCCTGCCCACACGGCAGAGTCTGGCAAACTCCCCATGGTGTACCCAATATGCCAAATACCAGTAACAATGATGGGTCTCATTCTCCTAACCCTGAAAGAGCCTTGAATCTCAGGGTTAGGATGAAGGAGATGTTACTGGGGCCTGCTCGAGGCAATCGATGAACAACAGGATGGTTGTGATCGTGATCGTGATCATAAATTCATAAATTTTTAACCTCATTGTTTTAGAAAGAGAAAAATTTTATTAAAAATTGCTTGTTAGTATAGGGAAACCTTCATACATATTCACATTAAAAACTGGGTCCAGGAACCATTCAATTATGAGAAAGTTCATTTTTGGGCAAATCTTCAGGAAAATTCCAAATTCATCCTCTTAAGCCTTGGTGGAGACTTCTTTAAGTTGGCACAGTTGACAAAGAAGCTGCAGAGCAGAATGTTAAGAAGAAGAAATAAAGTCCCTTGTTTGGAGAAAAAGAAAATTGGTTGCCATGGTTGATTAAATCACTGATCACTGATGACTGACTCAACCTCCAGTTCTTCAGCCACCAGCACTGGGGGAAATGCCTTGTTGGATCAGGTCACTCCTAACCTCAGCACAGGTATTCAGATGTCCTTCGCTTTTCTTTCGTAGAAAAGAATTTCAGGAGGAGGCAAAATGGTAAAGTAAGAAAGTCACTGAAACTTATTTAGGAAGATGTGAGGGGAGAGGTAGGGAGAAGTACACGTTCATGAGAAAACACAGGCTTGTCCAGAGTGAGAATAAACAAGCAAAGAGGCAGAGACAGGCAAGCAAGATAATGTGTTCAAGGCAGAACAAGGGCTTGAAGAGCAAGCCTTAATCCTTATTTTTTAAAGAGGAAACAATTTAAGCCTACAGGTGAAGAGTCTGCCTGAACATGGAGAGATAGTGGCAAAGTTGACACTAAAACCTGTATTTCTCAGTCCAATCAGGAGATTTTTGCTCCCCCTCCATGTGTGGGCAGCTGACAATGTCTGGGGAAATTTTGATTGTCACTTCTTGGGGGAGAGGAGTAACTAGTGTCTAAGACCAGAATGCCAGTACATCTTCTTCCAGGGGAGCCTCCCACAGACACGGAAGGGGCTTCCACTCTGAACAGTGCCTCCAAGGTTAACAGTGGAAGCCCTGCTCTGAGCAGTACAGGTCTCTCACTACCACGATTGCGGTGCTGGGCACTGTACCAGGTGCCATTGTGGCTACACAGTGATGGGAGAGGTGGAACATACCCTAGGTGTTACAAGTGGAGGAATCCACACACAAACTCAGGAATTACTCTACCAAAGGAGAGGTCCAAACAAAGTACAGCAAGTAATCAAAGAAAGGATATTTCACAGTTGAGATGAACAAAGACAGAAGAAACTAGTCAAGATCAAAAATGAGTTGCTGTTAAAAAATAAAACTGGACTTTTGTTTGTTGGGTTGGAAAACATGCTTTGTATGAAGAAGTGCTGGGTTTGAACTACATGGTCCCTGAGCATCACCAGGAGTGCTCCCCAGCCATGGAGCTGAGAGTAGTCCCTGAGCACCACCAGAGGTGGCCCCAAAACAAATAAACTGTGAAGGGTCTTTATCCTCCACTTCCACTTTAGTGCTAAGGAAAACCAAGGCTTAATGTGTAAAAGTCTTAGACCCTCTCTTCTTGGGCACTGCTTAATCGGTGAAAGCTATTTCCATATCCTTATATTATAGCATGTCAGTTTGATCTTAAAGGTGTCTGATGTGATCAAAAAGATTCGAGATCAAAAAGACAAGTAAGGGGCTGGAACAATAGCATAGCGGGTAGGGTGTTTGCCTTGCATGTGGCCGACCTGGGTTCGATTCCCAGCATCCCATATGGTTCCCCGGGCACCGCCAGGAGTAATTCCTGAGTGCATGAGCCAGGAGTAACCCCTGTGCAATGCCAGGTGTGACCCCAAAAGCAAAACAAACAAACAAAAAGACAAGTAAGAAACTTGGCTGCTGGGCCAGAGAGGGAGCTGAAGGGCTGGAGCACAGGCCTTGCATGCAGGAAGCCTCGGGTTAAGCCCCAGCATCACCTGGTTCTCTGAACACTCTTGGGAGCAGTTTTTAAGCCAAAAGAGGAGATTAGGGGGGCGGGGGGAGAGACAGACAGACAGACAGACAGATGGACAGACAAACAGAGAAGACAGAAACAGAGACAGAGAAGAGAGAGAGAATCTCTGGGTAAATTTTTGATTGTCACAGCTTTGGGGAGAGGAGTGACTAGTGTCTAAGTAAAGACCAGAATGCTGGTACACATCGTACAATATCCAGGAGAGTCCCTCACTCACAGACATGGAAGTGGCTTCCACTGTTAACAGTGCCTCAGAGGAGAGAGGAGAGAGACAGAGACAGAGAGACAGAGAGAGAGCAAGCAACCAGGAGAAAGGGAAGAGAAGAAATTTGACTGCTGGTTTTTGCTTGGTAACAATTCATTCAGATGTGATTGAACCATCTCCTTTTTATCTGGTGGTGGTCGGGGGGATCCCCAGCAGTGGTCAGGGGCCCAGGGTTCACTTCTGGCAACACTCAGCCTACAGGGTTGGGGGTTCAATGCTCAGGTGCAATGATATGGTGCTCTTTGGACCAGGTGGTGCTGGGCGTCATCAGAGTCACACCAGTGGCATCTGGGCAGCCATGTGGCATCACGGATCAAACTCAGGCCTTCATGCACGCTAGGCATGTGCTGCAGCCCTCTGAGATGACTTCCAGGCCCAAAACAAAATATTTAATGCCATGATACCATAAATCATTATAGACAAAACTTCACTTTGTTATGCATTTCAACAGTTATGAATTTCAGAGATTCACTTTGAGATCAGTCGTTTAGATATCTTCATTCTGAAGGGAGGTGGATAATATATATATATATTTTTTTTTTAGGGCTGGAACGATAGCACAGCAGGTAGGGCATTTGCCTTGCATGCGGCCGACCCGGGTTCGATTCCTCCAGTCCCTCTCTGAGAGCCCAGCAAGCTACAGAGAGTATCCTACCCCCATGGCAAAGCCTGGTAAGCTACCGTGGTGTATTCAATATCCAAAAACAGTAACAACAAGTCTCACAGTGGAGACTTTACTGGTGCCTGCTCGAGCAAATGGAACAATGGGAGAACAGTGCTACAGTGCTACAGTGGTAATGTTTTGGGGCCACACCTGGCATGCTCAGGGTTACTCCGGCCTCTGTGCTCAGAGATCACTTCTAGTGTGATTCTGAGAACCATATGGAGTGCTGGATACAGAACCTGGGTCAGCCACGTGCAAGGAAAGCGCACTATCTGCCTTACCTGCGGTACGATCTCTCGGGTCCAACTTCATGCTTCTGTGATTCTTTAAATGACCCCACGATGGCAGCAGAGGGTTAAGAATGATCTGGGCTTGGCTCAGACCGCTTACAGGGTGGTAAAGTGCTTACCTACTACAGGGCAAACCCTAGTTCAATCCCTAACACTGTATATGATCTCCAGAGCACCACCAGGAGTGATCTATCTCCCAAGCACAGAGCCAGGAGTCAGTCCTGAGCCACAGTCGGGTATGGCCCCCAAATCACACCTGTTTTTGGTGGAGGGAGACAGTGATGAAGGAATTGGTGTCAGAATAGTGTATGCCTGAAACCCAATCAT